AACATTTACTGATGAAGATCAAAGAGCACAGCCTTCGGTATGGATTACATCTCAATGTAAAGAAAACAAAAATCCTCACCACTGGACCAATAAATAATATTCTTATCTATGGAGAAAAGATTGAAGTTGTCAAGGACTTCATTCTTCTTGGATCAAATATCAACACTCACGGAAGCAGCAGTCAAGAGATCAGAAGACATATTGCATTGCGCAAATCTGCCGCACAAGACCTTTTTAAAGCGTTGAAGAGCAAAGGTGTCAGCTTGAGGACTAAGGTGCACCTGACCCAAGCCATAGTGTTTTAAATAACCTCATATGCATGTGAAAGCTGGACAGGGAATAAGGAAGACCGTAGAAGAACTGATGCCTTTGAATTATGGTGTTGGAGGAGAATATTGAAAGTTCCATGGACTGCCAAAAGAACCAATAGATCCGTTTTGGAAGAAGTGCAACCAGAGTGTTCCTTAGAGGCCAAGATGACCAAACTTCATCTCTCATACTTAGGACATATTGTCAGGAGGGACCAGTTGCTGGAGAAGAATATCATGTTTGGTAAGATAGAGGGTCAGAGGAATATAGGAAAACCCCCAATGAGATGGATTGGGCAAGTGTCAACATCGATGGACTCAAGCTTGGCAACAATAGTGAGGTTGGCCCAGGATTGGGCAGTGTTTTGCTCTGCTGTGCATAAGGTCCCTATGGGTCGGTACTGACTCGATGGCACCTAACAACAACAACAAACCTTCACTCAATTCACAATAAAAAGAAGAAAATGAAAAGTAATGACTTCAATATAAACTTGGTTTTAACAGCAAATTTTAAGAAGAAAACTATGAATAGCTGTTAGAGACAAGTCTTTTAGGGGTTAACTTTTTTTTTTAATTAAATAAAGTGAATCAATTTGTTTGTGTATGTGTATATGTGTTGTTCACGTTTTACTTTCCATTGGATACACGCATTTGGTAGTCTTAAGGGTAATCTAAGTGTATAGCTCACTCACCGATGCTGCTCGCTGGGAAATCTCCTTGTGGCATATGTAAAAAAGTGACAATGGACGTCATTTGTGCATCTCTCTTGACATTCATGAGCAGACTTGGTAATAGAGGCATTATAGTTCAAACCCTTCATGTCTAGATCCACATAAACATCTTTGTTGCAAGCTGGAATCAGAAGCAAAAAATCAGCTTTCTAATAGGGGCAACTTTTATTATTTCTACCTTTGCAATTGATCCTCCTGATACACTAATTTAATTTTTTTACTCATTTCCCCACAGAAGACTTTGTGTTTTTGGTATTTTGTTTTTTAATCTGCTTAATGCTACTCTCACATGAAAGCAGTAAAATAATGCCAATGTTCCTCATATTTTGCAAAATTATTAGTCTGGCAAATTCCTGTTTTGGTTTTCTGACCTGGCCCCTCTCTTAACTCCACTAATTGACTGATTCACTAATTGAGTCCAGTGTTTTTTCTTCCTTTGATTAAAACTGATAGGTTTAATACAGCCTTTTATGTAAAATTTTAGGTTGGGAAAAAGAAGGAAAATAAACAAATGAGAACTGTGGTGGTAAGGAAAGTCCTAGGAGGTTAAGAAAATTTAGTGAATTATAGTGTGTGTGTGTGTGTTAGGAGACAGTATATATGATTGATATTTTTTACTTTACATGGAAAGACCTTCATTAGAGGAGTTTATTTGCATACAGCAGAGTTTTGTTTTATAGCCTTAACACTATATCTTCTACAGCTATTGAATATATCACACTATAACTAGTATTTATTAATTTAAACAAATGATCTTACCAGTTATTTGGTGTGGGCATTGTTTGAAAGAGTATCCAGAAATTGCTCCTGACATATTTACCTTTGGCAGTGTTTCCGTAACACTGTCTTTTAGAACACAAGAAAACCTATTAAAAAAAAATAATAATAATACAATGTTACTGGGTGGTATGTATGTTTTAAAAGAATGGTACTGCACACACAACAAATGTACATAGGTTTGACAAAGGATGCTTGTACATATGTATTTATACATGCTGTAAATATATCTAAGATTATAATAAAGTGTATAGGGGGCAAAGAAGTGTGGTGACTTCATACAATAAGCAGTGGACCATGAACCACAAGGTCCAAGGTTTGAGCCTGCCACTTGCTCTGTGGGAAAATGATGAGGCTTTCTACTCCCACACAGATTTAAAGCCTTGGAAACCCTATACAGGATTGTTAGAGTCAGAACCAACTTGACAGCACTTAACAACAACAACATAGGAGGCAAAATCATGAAAACGTCTTAGCCATGATGAAATACCTCAATGGAATGAGTCACTGGGCTTGTGGTGTCAGAGCCAAAATCAAAGGAGATACCAAGATTAATTGTCATAACATAGTCCACAAAGACAATGTTCTACTTCCTAATTTAGTGTGTAGCAACTGGGGTCTTAAAAGCTTGTACGTGATCCTCAAAGGTACATGAAAGGTCTTTATCCAGAGCAAAAAAGAATGAAGATAATCAAAGACATAAGAAAACAATTAGTCCAAAGGACTAATTAATCATGTGAACCCCAGCCTGCATGACCCTCAGGTCAAAAGAACTTCTGACCTCTGAAAGAAATCCAAACAGGAAGTCATGGATAGAGTGAAAGAAAAATGTAGAAAACTAAAAATAATAATAATAAAAAGATCAGGCTTACTGGTTTGATAAAGACTGGTGGACCTCCTGAAATTATGGTCCTTGCTCATTCTTCAAACCTGGAAAACTCACCCCCATGGCTCAGTTTTCAGCCTACTGATGTTGCTGTTGCTATTAAGAGCAGTTGAGTTGGTTCTAACTCATAACAACCTTGTCTAGCTCCCATAAATCTTTATAGGAGCAGAAAACCTCAAATTTTCCTTTAAAGTGACTAGTAGGTATGAACCAACAACTTTTTGTTCACAGTCCAGTCCTTATCATACAGAGCCACCACACTCCCCAGTCTAATGACAAACAAGTCTATAATGACAAATAAGTCTATGGAGGTATGGACTCCTTAGACCAATAAACCACAAGAGATCTAAATGACAGCATTTACCCAGAGATAAATCTCTTGGCGCTCTAGGACAAGCACTAGACCACAAACCACAAGTTCAGCAGTTCAAACCCACCAGTTTAACCTTGGAAACGCTATGAGTTGTGATGGCACTTAACAACAACAAACTCCAGAAAGCAAGGAAGAATGGGAAAGAAGGATGACTAGAAATGGTAAACACAAAGAGGAAGTGAAAAGAGTGCTGTTACAGTGTTGAGATTCAATCAATGTCACAAAACAAACGGTGTATGAATTATTGAGTGGAGACCAGTTTGTTTTGTAACTTTTATCCAAATGACAATAAAAAGTGAAAAAAATTAAAAAACAAAACAAAACAAAAAATACCATACAAAAGCACACAGAAAGCCAAAAGAAAGAAATAAAACACTGTATCACATGCTAACAAAAAATTTTTTTAGCAAAATTGTGAGTTTTTCATTCCAATGTCTCTATATTTTAAAAATAATATATTAGCATTCTTTATTAAAAGAAAGTTTTAGATCAGTGTGCTATATATAAACTATGGCCCATGGGCCATTTGTAACCCACTACTTATTTTGTACAGCTATAAATTATATTTTAAGTGGTTATATAAGTACTTATGTAACACCTCAGTTTTTCCTGTGGTATGCAAATCTTTGTATATCATTCAAAATACACTTGCTAATTATTATAAATTATAGAATCTTGTAAATTTAAGGTTATAGGTAAATATCTGTGTTTGCAGTAATAATACACTAAGATACTGATAATTTAATTCTTCATAAAGCTTTGATGGAGCTTTCAAGTTCAAAATTGTTCCTCAAAATTTTCTCAGACCAAAAAAAATAAAATAAAATAAAGAAAAGTTTCTCAGACAATAGGATATTCAGACAATATCAATATATCGCTTCATATATCACTTGTTTAGCGCTGTCAAGTTAATTCTGATGCATAGCAACCCTACATAGGGCTTCCAAGGAATGGCTGGTAGTTTGAACTGCCAACCTTGTGGCTACTTGTTCTTGTCCTTCAGCACCACACCAGGACTAGGTATTGAAAAGTGAACATTTTACTTCTGTAGTACAGATATCCTGTTATTACCTGCTAGACCACTGCTAAAAATGGGACAACCGCTAAATACAGAAGCTCTGTACTGTAGTGGTTAAAAGTTGGACTGCTAACCTCAAGGTAAGCAGTTTGAAACTACCAGTTGTTCCACAGGAAAAAGATGAGATTTTCTTCTCCCATAAAGATTTACAGCCTTAGAAACTCTATGCTGGTTTGCTAAGAGTTGTAACCGATTCCATGGCACACTACTACCACCAAGACAGAAGTATTTGACCCGAAAGTGCTCTCCTGTTGTTGTTAGGTGTCATTGAGTCAGTACCGACCCATAGTGACCTTATGCGCAGCAGAACGAAACATTGCCCGATCCTGGGCCAACTTCACTACTGTTGCCACGCTTGAGTCCATCGAGTTTGCCACTTGGCCAATCCATCTTGTTGGGGTTTTTCCTCTTTTTCTCTGACCCTCCACCTTACCAAACATGATATCCTTCTCCAGTGACTGGTCCCTCTTGACAATATGTCCAAAGTATGAGAGATGAAG